GCGGATGTCATGTTGTAGAGACTTTTCTTTTCTGAAATTGCTGTTACCTTTGGTTTCTATTCCCTAGTTAAGGACCTAAGTACTTTTAGATTCAATTCATCATTCGTTAAAGTTTTACCAAGAGCACTTAGATGATTTATCAAGTGCACAAATCTCTTTTGTAAGTCAAGAATGGTTTCTCCGGGCTGCATTCAAAATAATTTGTATTCTTTACTTAGGGTATTTAGTCTTGATCTTTTTACTTCAACCGTTCCTTCATAAGTTTGTACCAATGTATCCCATATTTCTTTTGTTGTTTTGCATGCCGAGACACGGAAGAATTCGTCCATGCTAAGTGCACCTTGAAGAAGGTTTATTGCCTTTTTGTCATAGAGAACTTTCTTCTTATCAGCATCGTCCCATGCAGTTTTAGGCTTTGATGAGCCACCACCATTGATTACCGTTATAGGGATAAATGAATCATTTTCGACGGCATCCCATATTTCTTCTCCTTGTGCTTCTAGATGTGCCTTCATGCATATTTTCCAGAAGTCAAAATATTCACCACAAAATAGAGGAGGCTTATTGTTACTACCACCATCTCTAAAAATAGGATTTTGATTTGCAGAAGCCATTTTGGATCTTTTAGGAGCAGGTTACTTATAACCTGCTCTGATACTAATTGTAATTACGAAGTGCGCCTAAGGGGGGGTGAATTAGGTACTTTAAAAATTCTGGTTTTTAGTGATAATGGTTCTTATTTTTCTGGTTAAAAGAGAGTTTAGGAAAGCTTAAAAATGCAGAAAAATAAAGAAACACGGGCCATATACCCTGGTTCCCCTCACAGTCTGAGAGTACTCCAGTCCCCTTTCAACATGAAAGAGATTTCCTTATTGTGGCAAACTTAAACAAGAACTACCAAACAACCAAGAACAATCCTCTTGGACCAATAACAATCCTCTTGGATTTTCACTAAGTTACCTATGAGAATAATCCTCTCAATGTAACTACACTTGTATCCAACAACTTTGGAAAGACAAGATTTCAACAAAACACTTAAACTTATTTCCAACAATCCTGGAAAAATAAGTAAGTAAATATCAATTTTTGAGTTTGAGTGAGTAGAGTAATATTTGATCACTTAGAGTGATTCTAACAATGTATGATCTTCTCTTCCAATAATACTATTGTACAATGACTCAAGATATATTTGCTCAAAGTTTTCTGTTTGATAATGTATGAAAATGTGCAGAAAACTTATGCATGAAAATGAAAGAGTGCTTGAGTTTGTATTTTGAAATTTCAGAAAATATTTATGGAAGAGGTGTTAGATCTGGATTTAAAATTGAATATTTATATGTTCATAAAACTCTTTTGAAACAACATGAAGTTCTGAAAAAGTATCATGAATAAATGCCAAGTTTGAGTGAAAAGTTTCAATGAAATTGCATGATGAACAGGCATGAACAAAAGATGTTGTTTTTCAAAATCATGCAGTATGCAATCGATTGCACCCTTGGTGTAACTCGATTGCACAAGGTTTCAACAGCTATTTTTTCAAAATCTTTAAGAGTGCAATCGATTGCATTATCAATGCAAATCGATTGCATGCAAAGTCAGTAGCAAAAAGTAAGTGAGTGCAATCGATTGCACTAGCAATGTAAATCGATTGCACTGAGAAACAGAAGAAAATATTTTGAAAATTTAAATTTGCAATCGATTACACAAGTAATGTAAATCGATTGCACAGAGAAACAGAAGCAAAAGATCTGAAATTTTGAAGTGTGCAATCGATTGCACTAAGATGTAAATCGATTGCATGCAAGAGAAAAATGAAATTTTATCTTTTGAAAAGCTTGAGTAATGATTTTTAAACATTTCTTTTTCATTTTTGAGCATCTATATCTTAAGATCAAAGTAGATAATGTTATTATACCTTTAAAGTTGTTGAGAGCTTTGAATGAAGATATTATTCTTAGATGCTTTAAGCTTGATCAAAATCTTTGCCTTCTTTGTTAGCCATGGTTTGTCTTCATCAAAACAAAAGCTTATTTGTGAAGCTTGATTTTAAATTGATTTGAAGAAGAAGAAGAAGAAGAAAGTATTTATAATAAAAAATGGAAAAAAAAATTGGTTCATTTTTCATTTTAGCAATGAAAGAGTTAGTGGAACGCGTGTTGGTGGATGATAAGTTGACAAGATAGTTACTTTTTTGGGAAGTCACGTTTTGTACCTACTTTAATATAGAAATGATGAACTCTTAATTGTGCATGTCTCGATAAAAAGTTTGGAAATATGGTCATCATGACTATAATGTCACAGCAGTAATGGTCATCATGAAGCAAATTCCGCGTTGAAATTGAGATCTTGTAAAAAATGTCCTTTTCTTCAAATATTTCGAAATAAACATTTTTTGAGGGAAATTTGTTAGCTTGGAATTTCGACGGCTCAGGATATTCAAGAAAGGCTGATTTTAAAGGAAATATGAAAGTTCTTGCCTATGATCTTCGACTAACTGACCAATCGGAGGTCAAAAAGTTACTAAGTATTGACGAAGTCTTATTATGATGGAACGCATGATATTTAAGATATTTCAAGTTTCAAATTTAAATGATTCTATAAGTCACATTATTATCTTGGCGCTTTAAATAGAAGACGAATTTGAATTCAAATAATTTAATCTTATCCAGAAGGACACGTGAAATCCTGAGGGTTTAAGGTAGCGTGCAACATCAAATGTGACACTCTTATAGTGAAAGACCGTTAAAGTCAAATTAGTATAAATAGGGTTCTTTGTGTTAGGATTCAGTGTGTTCACTTTTGTACAAATTACTCAGATAAACTCGAAGTACCAGTGTTAAAGAAAAGAGTAATTGAGAATGTACGTATGAATCATCATATTTTATTTAAGTGTCAATTTACATTTATTAAAGTCCTTTTTATTCCTTTTAATTTTAAGTCGAAGTCCTTCTATTTTCCTATAGTCATTTTACATAGAATTTCTATCATTTACACATTAACCATAACCTTTGAAAAGATGAACATTCGAAAGATATAAATATTTAAAGCAAAACACATGTTCTAGGATTAATCTAGTCGATCATGTGAGTAACCAAATCTTTTTCATTTTGCAAGACTAGCGGTTGTTTACCAATTTTCACAGTAAACAATATAACACCAAATTTTTAATTTTTTTACTTTTTAAAATGTGCATCAGAGTATCAAATAATTCTTCAACTATGAGACTAAAATTACCTATATACTCGTCTGCATCCACCAACTCAAAAATTGTAGGTAAAGCAACTAAAACATACAAATTATTACTGGGAAATAAATAAAATCGATACAAATTTGATGCATAAGTATTACAAATCCATATAATTACATTTCACGTTCCTAAAGATGTCTCGATAAAAAAAGATGATCCAAATTTTGATAAAAATTTAAACATGAAAAGAAGACACTCACAATAAATTTATTTTGTTCCTTTGTTATACCTCATAATATTTTAAAATGAAGTTGAACTTTGAGATGGGAGAAATCACAACCTTAGTCAGAAATCAATGAATTTCTTATATTTATATATAAGATAAGTAATTGAAATATAAAATAGTAATATTTTTTAATTATAATAGATAGTATGTATATAATATGTATATAATATATTTATTTTTATGTTTAAAGATTATATTTTAATTATATAAAATATTAAAACACTAATTCAAATTCCACTTTTTATGAAAAACTACTAAAATAATAAAATACTAATAATAATACAAGAAAAATAAACAAATGTCAATTTAAAAAATATGAATTACTCTCTTCTTTTAAATAATAATTAAAAAAACAAAAAGAAAAGAAGAATAAGAATTGAGTGGTTCAGCTCTTTTCTAGTGGAAATACTTTATCCTTTCAAACTATCATTAAAAATAAAACATGTGGAAGTATTTATTAAATAAAATAAATAAAAAAGAATAACAATAATCATAATCAATTATCTTCCTTCTCCTCTCTCGTTTCTCTGTCTATGTGAGCGTAAAACACAAATTCTCAGAACAAAATCCTCAAATTCAGATTCAATTAAATCACCAAGCGCTCAATCCAAACCAAAAACAATAAATCAACCACAAGAACAACACATATTCAGATCCATAAATCAAACAAATCCAAACGAATAAATAGAAATAAGAGAAAATTGTGAAAGAGAGGAGGAGAAGACCGGCCATAATTATGGAGACGGTGGTTGAAGGGATGGCGCTTCTCATCATCGGCGAAGAGTTCAAGTGTGGTTAGAGTTCGGAGTCACGGTGATGATGATGAATTTAATATGTTGGCATCAACAACAATCAGGTTTACGCAATGATTTTTTTCTTCTCCGTTGACAGTGGCAGAATGAAACTCAATGGCTCTCGGTGGTGAATTCTGAGTGATTCTTTTTTGTGTTATTTCTCTTCTTCTCTTTCAACTCTGATTTCTTACTTTGTATCTCAGTTGTTATGCTTTGAAATTGCCATGGTTGTTGTTACAGTGAGAACAAAGAATGTGAAATAGATGAAGGAGTTGAGATGTGATACATGGTAGTTGTGTTTTATGGGTGTAGATATGTTCATATAAAAAAAGGGAGTGAGTAGAGGTTATGAAATTGTGGAATCAGTTTGGAGAGGGAAGATCTAATTTTGTTGAGAGGTTTGTTAAATCATTTTTGGTAAAATATGTTGCTTCTAAGAAGATGATGTAGTAAGATAGTTTATTGATAAGTGCAAATTGTAGTTATTTTTGTATATACTTTTTGTTGCACTTATCGACTCTTTATTGTTAATATCAGTTGAATAAACCCAATTTTTGTGTATAAATAAGTTTAGTTTATGTATAATACGTTTCTATGTACAAAGTGTATCGTTTGATAGTTTTCCTATCATTTTGTAGGTATTTGAGCATTGTTGGAACAAGAGGAATGAAATCTCCAAGATGCATTGTTGGATCAATAAAGGAATAAGGCCAAGAAGAGAGAGCCATTGGAGTTATGCTAGAAGAGAAACAAAAGTATTTGTTCTGGTGTGCCTCGTTGGGCAAAGCTTAAGAGAGGAGCCTTTGCGTCTGCCTCGCAAGGCAACGAAGGGGTGAGAGGTTTTGATCAAATTTCCAGTAGCCACTGACTTGGGCTCTCCAGCAGCTCGTTGGGCGAGAAATAAGGATTTAATCAGGCTAAGCATCCCTTCACCGGGCGAGGGAAGATATTTGAGACCAGCTGCATACGTGGCGTAACCTGGGCCTGGTGTTTAGGAACCATCGTCGGACGACGCTTTTATGTCGTCGGACGATGCGTGCAGCCCCGATTTTTATATATATTTTCTTTTCATTTCATTTGTAATGTTTATGGTTTTGGGGATAGTTTTTGTTCCCAACTCTATCAACCCTCAATTTTCTCTAGGTTTAGCTTAGAAAACAACATTAAAGCTTGCATACGGATGATCTGGGATGGATTGCTCTTTGATCGATGCTGACAAACTGAGAGATTTATGGTTCATTTCTCTTCTTCTTTGTGTATTATTTATATGTTGAATTTGTATATGTATTTACTTTTATCTTATGTATATTTGTCGCCCATGGCGTTATATTTAATTTTCTTTATAAATATTTGTGGATTGTTATCTTTGATTTTAACTCTGTGCTAGAGAATTGGGTTATTATAGACATATACTGCTTGAATTCTTATCTAGGATGATAGTCTGTTAGTTTCTGGATTCTAGAGATAAATTTAGAGCTGGAACTCACTTGGGTGTCTGAGATTAATGCCTCTGTGCTGATTGTGTTGACTGTAAGATCATTAATGCGAGTGGTACAATTGACTTCTGTGCTGTAGAGGTTGGTTGAGAAATCACCACGGAGGTGATACTGTGGGTGTTATGCTTGACACGTGAAGACATTGACGAGTATCGTAGGTTGAGTATAACTGTTCGATAGGTTTAAGTCTGTCAGAAGCGGATTATATGTATGCTTGATAAGTTTCCCTTTTGAAGAATGAATTTATATCCTGTTAATAACTTTTACCTTTTCTTTACAAACAACCCATTTTCCCCCAAACTCATTAACGAATGATTTGTCGAATAGCGAATCGATAACCAATCTTTGTAGACATGATACAATATAACCTATATCACCCGATAAAAATAATACTCTACTTTTTGCTTGCTTCTTTGTCGTTGCAACATTTATGTGTGGATCTACGAAAAAAGATAAAAAGGTGATGAAATGTATCTTTGGGTTATAGTATAAAGAGAGGGAGGGTCTGATTTCTGGAAATGAGAGAGAGGAAGTTATGGAGATGGAGAGAAGGTGGTGGTTTCTGTAAGTGTTAGCAGAACATTGTTATTGTCTTGGTCGGAATTGTTGTCTCACGGTGGTGGGGAGTTTCAGATTGTGGAAACATATGAGGAGAAGGGTGGTAAAGGTGGTTTTGATGTAGATGTGATTTGGAGAGAAAGAAGAGGTGAAACGGCTTGTTTCTTCGTCTTCTCCAAATTTTTTTCTTATGCATGTATTAAGAAACAAAATTGATATTGAATTTGGTTATTTCCCATGAACAAAAGAATTTGGTTGTTTCCAAGGCATAAAATCGATTTCCCAAGTAATTTCGCATGGCCAAATATGAAATAGAAAGTTAAAGAGTCTGCCAATAATAATTGATTCTTTATAAATAAATAAATAGTAAACATAAAGAAATAATAAGATATTAATCAATATTATAAGTATTTTTATTATAGAACCATTTCTACAAATAACAATCATATAAATAGCATGGACTCTAAAAATTTGACACTTGACAAACTTGCTAAATAACTCATTTTGGTTTATTATATTTAATGATATTCGTACATAATAATTTAATAAATACAAAAAATAAAATAAAATAAAATAAAATAAAAATAATTTACTAAAAATGGGGTGTTACAAATCTCCCCACTTAAAGAATTTTTGCCCTAAAAAATTACTTTAAGAAAACAGAGTCGGATACGACTCTCTCATATGGCTCTCACACTCCCAGGGATAAAATCAAGTTATACTAAAGGAAAAAACCAAATTTATCCCAAAATCCCTACCGAAATATTCAACAGACAATTAAAACAAACTATTTAGTTACTGAACCCATAACAGGGTATATCAATAACCATACTCCTGTCCATAGACGACAACTCAGGATCCAACCGATTAGCACAATCCACAGAAATGAACGATTGTGTCGCATCCGTGTCAATAATAGAAATTAAAGGGATACTATTGATAATCACATACCTCAAATTGATATATCCTCACTGGTATTCTCTGAACCATACTGTAATACGGTGGGAGAACTGACTTGGTGTTTTGCATTTTATCGCAATTATTGCGGATAGCAAGAGTCACCACCGACTTATCTTTTATCCAATAAAGGAAAGGGTGTAAAGAACAGGAAAGACCTTTTGAGATATTTTCTTGAGTTCGGGGGGTAGGTTATGAAAAGGGAAGGTGTTAACACCCTTTTCATCTGTAGTTATCTACGGGCTCTTAATTGCTTGATCACTTTGAAAATGCTTTGTTTGAAATGTGTTTGTGATTGTTTTTTAAAGTACTTTTGAAAATTTCCTTTGTTTAGGAGAACTTTGTAATGATTCTAGTCTCTATAAGAATGTATACAAAGTGTTGACTTTTGAAAATATTTCATTTTGAAAGTGTTTGGTGTGTTTGAAAGATGTTGTTTTGAAAATGTTGTGAGCAAGCAACTATGAACGTTCTACCTACTCAAAAGGTCTTTATTCTTTTCCTCCTCCTTTATATGTTGCTATCTTACCATTGATTGGTAAGAAGCCCTATCATTGGATGTGAAAGGACATGTGCGGGTCAATCATACAGTCATAGAAGGCAACTTGGGAGACGCTTTAGGAATTTTCATAAGGGACTAAGATCGTTTTACCGAAGGCAACATCGAGGGACTACGATCTTTTCTTATCGAAGGGTCTTTGCTAAAACGTCCCACATTCGAGGGACATGACTATTTTCCGAGGCAACAAGCGAGATTACCCTAGAGGTACGTGTGTGAAAAGTGTGTTTGATTCAAGTTAATTTGTCTTTGATTAGGGTTATCTAGCGATTGATTTGAAATCTTACCATACACTCCTAATTACTATAAAGTATGAAGAAAAATAGTAAATTGCGGAAATTAAAATTCTACACTATTACATAACTTTCTGGAATGGGGGATACAAATTTACAAATGGAGATGGATCGAATCGACAATGCGATAAAAAGGTCTAAATAAACAAGAAATATAACCCAATCGAATAAAATAAACAGTTAATTAAACTAAAACAATCTATAAAATAAAAGTAATTTGCAAAGTAAAAATATGAAAATAGTATTCTTGGTCTTTTTGTTTGTGAGTAATTTCGAAGAAAATAAAACCTATTCTAAAAAATGTAATGATTGACTAAAAGAAATTAAACAATTTAAAAGAATGTTAACTAAAAATAAAATTATTCACAAAGTCCTAAACTAAACTAACTAATTTTAAAATTATATTTTATTATTTAATTGAATTTTTAAATTAAAATTAAACCTAAACTAATTTTGTTATCAAATATGTAACAAAATTTGAAGATAAGGCTAAAAGAATCAAGAAAATCGAAATAAAGGGCCTAGCTGAGAGTTGAACCTGGGTCATCTAGGTTACAATATACAGGCTTTGCCAACTGGCCTATATTATTTAACTATTATATCCATGATTAAATTAATAAATAAGGAGAATAAGATTATGAAATTGGGCCAACAAGCCCAAAGGGCTGACCCGGTTAAAAGAAGAACAAGGAAAAGTTAGGAAAACCCTAAACAAAAGCAAAAGGCACCGCATGGGAGTTATATGGGGAAGAGAAAACTAATTAAACTATTATTGTTGAAAACTTATCTCTATGTTGTATTGGAAAAAACAAAACTCTTTCTCTCTACCAAAAATTTTCATCTCTTCCTCTGTTATCTAAGTTACCGCAAGAGCAAAATAGTCAATCTCTCCTTCATTCACATATTTCCATCTTCCATCCTTCTCCTATCCTTAACAAAATCCAACCTAACTTTGTTCTCATTCTCACAGCAACCTCAGCCACTCTCTTCACTTCCTCCAGCAAATTATAGTCAGATAATAAGATATTATCATCGATCTATGAAAAAGGAACAAACTAAGTCCGGTTCCTCTTGCCATTACACCCAGTACGAACTTTGTGAGCCTTTACGCAAGGAAGACTGCGAGATTGTTCCCAATTGACTAGATGCGGATGGTGGCGTATGAACCGGAGCATTGGGAGCTACATTGCTTGACTAAGAGATTTGTTGAGTAGAAAGTCCCAATTGATGGGTAATATCGGTGCTAGGAAGATTGTGTAGAACGGATCTAGACAAAGAAGGTACGTAATTCAATTGCAATGAGCTAGCCAGAGAAGTATTTTTCTGTGTAATTTCTACCGGTGTCGTTGTTTCGGTAGAATGTTAAGTTGTTGCTATTGTGTTTTTGTTAATGGTTTTGATTGTTGCTGTTTTGATAATTGATTAGTGAATGAATGCTGATGTTGTAGGAGCTGCTGGAACCGCTGGGTTTGAGCTGGAGATTTAGATTGATGTTGAAATTGAAGTAAGGAACCAATATTCTATTTGGAGGGATCGATACTCCTAATGTCTCAAAGTGCAGCAGCAGGTAAAAGCTCCTAGCACGTTGCCTTCTTTCTCGAGTAGACAAGCCTTCCTTCATATTTGATAACTCTTTCAATTTTTTCTATCTCCCAGTTGTACATGTTTTACTACGGAGCTGGCTGATCCAAGAAGCAGCAGCTGGCCTGTTTCGGGGTTAAAGATATCACAAGCATATCATTATCTATTAATCCCATTTCCTTTTGAACTGATTCTCGCAGCAACTGCTTTTTCTCAACCATTTTATCAGTACTAAAGGATGGAGTGTTAAGTGTGGAGGGAAATGGTTTAAGGTTGAATAAATATATGATTATCTAATTTATATGGTTTCTAATATTTCAATTCTGGTTTTCTTGTGTTTATTATTATTACTACTATTTCTAAACATGTTTAAATGTCCATGTATTGCAGCAACTCAAAAATACAACAAAGGAAAATATGATAAAGCAAGCATTGACATGTCATAAAAGTGGTGCAGAAGAAGATTAAAACATGGATATAT